GACTGATGCAAAGCTGTCATAAATTAACCTAACAATGCCATGTGCTGGGCCCTGTAATTCATGCCTTATACTTCACCGATGTAGAGCCAATCACTAATTAATGTTATTTCTGTAAAGCAATTAGAATTCCTAACAAACAGTTTTTGTGATCACCATCTCTCCTGATTTACCCCTGCCCCTCCCCCAAAAAAGTACTAAGCCTCTCCTTTGTTCTCTGAAGCACTTAACCAAAATAATTAGGGGTGTTTCCAAGTTGCAGTCCTCATCCTTGGGACAAATCAACTCTTTGCATTAATTTTGCCTCAGTTTATTTCTTCAGGTCATCAAGGATGATGAAGGGAGACTATCTTATACACACCTGTAGTCATGAGAACAACATTCTCCATGATATACTGTAACCAGAAAGGTGGCTACTGTAATGCTGATGCATTAAATAAGGTCTGACACCCATAAAGAAAGCTGCTGGGTATGGATTAAAGTAGACATTAAGCTCCAACGTCAATGTCTCATGCCTGAAAAGCTTCAAGTCCCAGATTCACTGGAACTAACTATTCTCTTCTGTTGCATCACAACATGACAGTTTTCAATTTAAGAAACAAAGCACTTAACCAGAGTAAGTACCATCAAGCAATCCTTATGCCAGTAATCTGTGTAGCAAAGAATCAAAATGCAAGCATGTGTCTCCCTTCACTGGTACATGTAAAACACACACTTGGAGACAATTCTACTTGCTCAGTGCTTGCTCAGGCCTGCTGATGCCTTTTTCCCCCTGAAATGAAACTTGCATTAAACAAAGGAATGAAGAAAGCATCCTAAAAGGCTCTTCTAATTTCCAGGGCATGTATGCTAAAGACTGACGTTGGAATGGATGTGGCTGCATTTTATCAGTATAATTACCAGTTTAATTCTAAGGCAGGTATTTGTCTGATTTCATCAGGTAGATAGATTGAGAGCCTCCTATGCAGTAGTCACTGTGAAAGGCAGTAAACATAGAGTATTTCATCAGGTACCACCTTATCCCCCTTGGGTGATTAACTGTCCTGGTGGACCCAAATCTCAGGGGCCCTCAGGATGCATCTCTCTTTTTTCCAGTATAACAAAGATAAATTTTATTTAGGAAGAACAAAGAGAAAGTTCAGACCACTTTGAAACAGAGTTGGAAGTAGGTACCTCTCATGAAGGAGAGGTGAGAGAGACATGCCTTTCTCTTTTAAAACCAGAACAACTCCAGCTGCTTTGATCCCCTCCTAATTCAT